TTTCCCAATTAATATATCTGCTGTGGAGAGAAAAAAAGTGAGAGAGAGAGAGAGAGAGAGAAGAGGAGAGAGAAGAGAGAGTACTGACGATGCACATCATTTGAAATATATTAATGCACCTTGTGAGTTCTTCAATTATCTTCATAACTGCCAGTGTTCGAAGTTGATGTTCGAAGGCAAGAGGGATCCTAAGACCATCCTCGCCTGAGACAAGAATGACCTTCAAGATTCCTCGTCAGTGGGCATTTCCCAGAACTTGTAGAGAAGTGGTAGGGGGAAAACGAGCGTCAAATTCTTATTATGTTTCAGAACATGCAGCCTGATTGGTTAGACTGGAATGCGATTAGTGGACGGAAGATCGAGCCTATATATATATATATATATATATATATATATATATATATATATTATATATATTATATAATATATATATATATATATATATATATATATATATATATTTAGCTTTCCTAATATATATATATATTTATATATATATATATATATATATATATATATACATATATGTCGTGCCGAATATGTAACACTCATCAATTAGCAAGAACTCATTTAAAATTAAGTCCTTTCTAAAATTTTCTCTTATACGTTTAAAGATATATTTTTTTTCATTAATGTTGATGTTAAAAATTTTAATTTTGCACCAAAAGGAACTTAGGAAACTTACCTAACCTTATTATAACAAGCGCAATTTATTTTAGCCTAACCCTACTAAATATATTTTAGATTTGTTTACAATAATTTAATACTAAAAAAACACAATCAAATATATTTTTTTCGTTAGGTTCAGAATGATTTTGGCAAAATTATTGCATACACAAATTTTCACTTGTCCTATATGGCAAGATGAACGTTGCTATTTAAGCCAACATCGCAAGTTCTGCCTATTCGGCACGACATATATATATATATATATATATAATATATATATATATATATTATATATATATATATATATAATTTTATATATATATATAACACATATATAATCTGCGGTGTCATCGTCGTGAGAGAGAGGTAAGGAGACTGATGTATTGTGAGTCCCCATGGTGACCGAGGGGAACACAGGTGAGTACCTCACTCACAAGGATTCACTCTCCTATCTTCCACGTATTACTCTCGTTTATTCACTGTTTTCCTCTTTATGTACGAGCTCATTACACTCAGTCCTACGCACTCTTTTCTCCTCTCTCTCCTCTCTCTTCTCTCTCTCTCTCTCTCTCTCTCTCTCCTCTCCCCTCTCTCTCTCTCTCTCTCTCTCTCTCTCTCTCTCTCTCTCTCTCTCTCTCTCTCTCTCTCTCTCATACAAATTTGCATATACAGTATATATTTACGCAAAGAAATACATACACATACACAAAAGCCAGAAGCGATGACTCGACCCCTGCAACCACAATTAAGTGAGTAATACAATTAGGTGAGTACACACACACACACACACACACACACACACACACACACACAAGCCCGTCTGTCTGTTGCGTGTTGTGAAAATCCTGGTCAGGTCTTTCAGACAAAATAGTTTTGTCCGAAGCTGTTTGTAAACTATACGAATAACTTCCCACAGGATATATACACCGGGAGGTGTGTGTGTGTGTACTCACCTAGTTGTGGTTGCAGGGGTCGAGTCATAGCTCCTGGCCCCGCCTCTTCACTGGTCGCTACTGGGTCACTCTCCCTGAACCATGAGCTTTATCATACCTCTGCTTAAAGCTATGTGTGTGTGTGTGTGTGTGTGTGTGTGTGTGTGTGTGTGTGTGTGTGTGTGTGTGTGTATGTGTGTGTGTCTTTGGGTATATTCGGTCAGCTTTCATAAAGTCCTCTATATAGTGCGATTTTTTTTGTGAAGACAAATGCAAAAGTACATCCAAAATTGACTAGCACACTGAAAGGCCGTTATAATACGTACTAATGAATTTTTGATAAACTTCGCAAATTGCAGTTGCAAAAAAAAAAAAAAATTGAACCAAAAAGTGAGTTTTATATAATAAGTGACCGTATACTCAGAGCTTAACTTAATCCCTATTTGAGGGATTAAAGCTTTCTTGACTGCTGAGGATTAGGATATATGCAGTCTCAATGAGCCTCGTGTAGTCGATAGGCTTTTAAACCACTTAACCAACCAACTTGTCAGAAGGAGTAAAGAGCTAACATAAGCATTCCTGTGACATGCCTGCGACCTGTTTCCAGGGTACTCTCCTTCCCTACACTGCCTTGAGGCCAAATCTTGTCGATTGCTAGATCAACCAGGCTGTCGTTGCTGCTGCCAGCGGCCCTGTTTCCAGGGTACTCCCCTTCCTAATACTGCCTGAGGCCAAATCTTGTCGATTGCTAGATCAACCAGGCTGTCGTTGCTGCTGCCAGCAGCCCTCAGACTTACCTAGCCATCACAGCCTGGCTGATCCGCGGTGATCTACTTTCCTCTTGAAAACACTTCCTCAGATGATGCAAAAATTCTGTGCAATATAAGCAGCAAAAATGGTTAAGTATCCCCTACCGGGATACCTGGACAGACTGAATAAGGAAGACAAGACAACATAATGATGTGAGGTAATGAGGGAAGATGATGAGAAAGGTAATGAGGTAAGGAAATGAGGCCACCAGGAGGGATAATGGGGGACAAAATGTAATAGGATAATCATATAGGGCACTGAAGGCATGAGGTACCGTAATGGGAGACATGGAATGTGACTAAAGGGAATTATGAAGGTATGGTAATAGCTATGGTAATGATGTGGTCAGTAGTAATGGTGGCTCAATAGGTAAGGTAATAAAGATCAGTGAAAATAGGGGCTCATGGGGGATGGCAATAAAGCAAATGGAAATAGGCAACCATTAAACATGTTAATGGGTGCCGGTGGAAATACGAGATGAAACAGGCATGAAAATGGGGTAAGAATGATAAAGAGGAAATCAGGGGGGCATAAAAACAGGGGAAAATGAAAAAAAAGTAGTATGGGGGGAGGGAGACACACAAGAGTCGAACACTTTCAGTGATTACTTTGTCAGCCTTGCTGTCTCTATTCCTTGTTCCGTCCATTCACGTCGCGGAGTACCGTGAAAACACTTGAGGGTGTTGGTGTAGTAAGTAGATTGGTTTGGAGTGAGGAATGGACGGTGAGGGAGGTGTATGTGTGTATGGGTTTCGGGAGTCAATGCCCCCGCGGCCCGGTCTGAGACCAGGCCTCGTGGTGGATCAGGGTCTGATCAACCAGGATGTTACTGCTAGTCGAACGCAAGCTGACGTACGGACCACAGTCGGGAAGGGTGGTGATGGATGAGGAAGGGGTGTGGAAGGGGTGGGAAAGGCATGGGGAAGGGGTGTGGAAGGGATGGGGAAGGGAAAGTTAAAGAAAGGGAGAGTCTGACGGCCTAGAGACTAAGAATTATATTGAGAATGTCTTCAAATCAATCACACAGTAAGAGGAAGAAGACAAAGACAAAGAAGAAGAAAGAGATCTCACGAAGAACGACAAAACAAGTCACGAAGAAAGACAAGAAATAAAACAGTCTATGAGAACTTGAACAGACTAGTCAAGGGAATCTCCACTGGAAAAAAAACATTATTATATATATATATATATATATATATATAAAATATATATATATATATATATATATATATATATATATATATTATATATATATATATATATGTCGTGCCGAATATGTAAAACTGGTCAATTAGCAAGAACTCATTTAAAATTATGTCCTTTCTGAAATTTTCTCTTATACGTTTAAAGATATATCTTTTTCATTAATGTTGTTGTAAAAATTTATAATTTTGCACCAAAAGAATCTTAGAAAACTTACCTAACCTTATTATAACAAGAACAATTTATTTTAGCCTAACCCAACTAAATATATTTTAGATTTGTTTACAATAATTTAATACTAAACAAACACAGTGAAATATATTTTTTTCGTTAGGTTGAGAATGATTTTGGCGAAATTATTGCATACACAAATTTTCGCTTGTCCTATATGGCAAGATGAGCGTTGCTATTTAAGCCAAGATCGCAAGTTCTGCCTATTCGGCACGATATATATATATATATATATATATATATATATATATATATATATATATATATATTTATATATATATATTCAGCACACGGAGTGCCACCAGCACTTAGAAATTAGAGAAAGAGATCAAAAGGAGAGAGTTTGAAGAGTAGGGAAAGAGTCGGTGCCGTATATAATGCTCCATAAGTGAGAGTCAGCGAGGACTGGAAAACAATATATCCTCTCACTCCAAGTTGCTGCCAGTCTGTTGTACTTTTGTCTTGTGGTACTCCAACAAATTTTACGCAGAGATATAGCCCTTAAAAATGATTGATTATACGCTCGGGCACATGCACAGGAGAGACTTATCAATGTATATATAAATACGTACAGGACAACTCTCGAGTTATATATTATATATATATATATATATAATATATATATATATATATATATATATATATATATATATATATATATATATATATAGGTGTGCGTGTGTAGTTTACGGCACTTGGTGGAATCACAGTTTACCTACCTGAGTCATAATCAAATCTCCGAAATTGATAATGTGCTTATTACTATACTTGACTGTACATTTTATCATCGATATACACATTTCTCGGTGTATACACGGAGACACAATAATTTTCTTTGTATACGTAGGAAGAATATGAGGTGGAATAGCGTCCAGGGAGGTGGTGCATACTCACGGGTGGAGGAGAGGTCCAGCTGGTTCATGGTGGGGCGCCCGTTGAGGGTGAGAGTGGGAGCGCCTGCTCCTGTAAGGGACAAGAGAGTGTGCAACATTAGCAACACTGACATACAAATATCGAACAAATGGCTGCATGGTTAGCGGGGTTTAAACCCTATCGACTGCACTAGGGTCATTAAGACAGCACAGTAACTTCTTCACCGCCAGACAACAAGATTACATTAATCCCTAAAATAGAGATTAATGTAATTTAGGGATTAATCCCTAAAATATGGATTAGTACCTAAAGTAGGGATTACAGCAAACTCTCCATATACAAACTCGGAGAAAAATACATCCCTGAGTGTATATTCGCGTGTATATAAATATATTTGAGACACATTAAGATATTACATAAACATTTGACAGTGAGGGAAAACCGTTGTATTTTGATGGTTACTTTACTATACAAATTACATATATAGATGTGTTGGTAATAATAAAGGGAAGAAATAAATGTAATCTGATTCAGATGTATATTAAAAAACCTTGTTAAAACTAGTTAAAATAAGTTAAACAAACGAATTTTTAAAACTGTTGCTTAAATTGATTTAGTTCTAACCAAAAATGATGGAAGACCCAAAAAAAAAAAAGAAATATCTTACAAAATAATGACAAAACAGTGACCAGTCGATATGACTGTTAGAAAGTTAGATATGACTGTTAGACAGTTAGATATGACTGCTAGACAGTTAGATATGACTGTTAGATAGTTAGATATGACTGTTAGACAGTTAGATATGACTGTTAGACAGTTAGATATGATGTTAGACAGTTAGAATGACTGTTAGACAGTTAGATATGACTGTTAGACAGTTAGATATGACTGTTAGACAGTTAGATATGACTGTTAGACAGTTAGATATGACTGTTAGACAGTTAGATATGACTGTTAGACAGTTATATATGACTGTTAGACAGTTAGATATGACTGTTAGACAGTTAGATATGACTGTTAAACAGTTAGATATGACTGTTAGACAGTTAGGTATGACTGTTAGACAGTTAGATATGACTGTTAGATAGTTAGATATGACTGTTAGACAGTTAAATGTGACTGTTAGACAGTTAGATATGACTGTTAGACAGTTAGATATGACTGTTAGACAGTTAGATATGACTGTTAGATAGTTAGTTATGACTGTTAGACAGTTAGATATGACTGTTAGACAGTTAGATATGACTGTTAGACAGTTAGATATGACTGTTAGACAGTTAGATATGACTGTTAGATAGTTAGATATGACTGTTAGACAGTTAGATATGACTGTTAGACAGTTACATATGACTGTTAGACAGTTAGATATGACTGTTAGATAGTTAGAAATGACTGTTAGACAGTTAGATATGACTGTTAGACAGTTAGATATGACTGCTAGATAGTTAGATATGACTGTTAGACAGTTAGATATGACTGTTAGACAGTTATATATGACTGTTAGACAGTTAGATATGACTGTTAGACAGTTAGATATGACTGTTAGACAGTTAGATATGACTGTTAGACAGTTAGATATGACTGTTAGACAGTTAGATATGACTGTTAGACAGTTATATATGACTGTTAGACAGTTAGATATGACTGTTAGACAGATGTGACTGTTAGATCGTTAGATATGACTGTTAAACAGTTAGATATGACTGTTAGACAGTTAGATATGACTGTTAGACAGTTAGATATGACTGCTAGACAGTTAGATATGACTGTTAGACAGTTAGATATGACTGTTAGACAGTTAAATGTGACTGTTAGACAGTTAGATATGACTGTTAGACAGTTAGATATGACTGTTAGACAGTTAGATATGACTGTTAGATAGTTAGATATGACTGTTAGACAGTTAGATATGACTGTTAGACAGTTCGATATGTCTGTTAGACAGTTAGATATGACTGTTAGATAGTTAGATGTAACTGTTAGACAGTTAGATATGACTGTTAGACAGTGCGTACAGCGAACTGCGGCAGTTTTGTTATTCAAATATATACAGATATATACAATGATTCCCAGGCTAAATGATCCAGCCTGAAGTGCGAGTGATCTAGAGGGTGAACCGCTGTTCCATGGTGTGATTTCCTTTAGCTGACTGACACGGCCTTGAAAGCCCGTAACAAATCCAAAATAAATTACCCAAATGCACCCATTGTCTACGTATGTGTATGTATGATTATGTGTGTGTGGGGGGGGGACATCTGGGTAAGTCATATAGGACCGGGTATCGCAACTAGGAAGCTGGTTTGCCGTTTATTGACCTGTTACACGGACGCTCTCAAGGTGTAAGTCTGGGCAACCACTACATTTCAGCGTGATAGAATCACGTCTTTCCAGACTTGTTAATGAAGTACGTCTTCCGGTATTAACACTTAACCTTGACCAATTTAAGCTAATCACAACCTACGCAATACAAATTAATATTATTAATCATTCATATATTTATATTATTATTATTATTATTATTATTATTATTATTATTATTTTTATTATTATTATTATATTATTATATTAGTAGTATATTATTATTATTATTAGTATTATTATTATTATTTATGATTTTATTATAATCAGAGAGGCAAGTTACTGACCAAGAATAATTAAATAGAGGCAAAGATTTGGTGTTTGGAAGGTAACGTTCTGAACACTTGCAGAATCCGTAATCTAGCTGGATATGACAGACAATTGAGTAACAACTATGGCAGGACCATCTGGCTCAGAGACCAGTGTATGAAGGATCGATTGTATTGAAGTATCATCTTATTCATGTACCATTTAGCTTTAGGTATCATCTGGCTGAGAGGGCCATCTGGCTCAGAGGCGGTAGCTAAGATTACCATCTGACAGAGAAAACCAGCTGGCTGAAAGGATCATCTTGCTAAGAAAGCCATCTGACTTAGGACCATCTATCAGAGAGGACCAGCTACCTGAAAGGAGCTGGCTGAGAGGACCAGCTTCCGAAACCCTGGTTGCAACATGAAGTTCCATTCATTAACTGAGAGGAGAAAAACAGGAACTGGCGAAGAGAAGGAGGAGGAGAGAGGGAGAAGAGTGAGAGGAGAGGGAGGGAGGGGCGGGGTAGTGGGTAGGAGAAGGGGAGGGGGAGAGAGAGAGAGAGAGAGAGAGAGAGAGAGAGAGAGAGGAGAGAGAGAGAGAGAGAGAGAGAGAGAGAGAGAGAGAGAGATAGAGAGGTGAGGGAGGGGAGGGAGAGTAAGGGTGAGGGAGATGGGCACGGTATTTCATTCTTCCACTCCATACACACATTAATATATATATATATATATATATATATATATATATATATATATTATATATATATATATATATATATATATATATATAATATATATATAGTAGGCTGGTAAACAGCAACCGCCCAGGGAGGTACTACCGTCTTGCCAAGTGAGTGTAAAACGGAAGCCTGTAATTGTTTTACATGATGGTAGGATTGCTGGTGTCCTTTTTTCTGTCTCATAAACATGCAAGATTACAGGTACGTCTTGCTACTTCTACTTACACTTAGGTCACACTACACATACATGTACAAGCATATATATACACACCTATCTGGGTTTTCTGCTATTTTCTTTCTAGTTCTTGTTCTTGTTTATTTCCTCTTATCTCCATGGGGAAGTGGAACAGAATTCTTCCTCCGTAAGCCATGCGTGTTGTAAGAGGCGACTAAAATGCCGGGAGCAAGGGGCTAGTAACCCCTTCTCCAGTATAAATTACTAATTTGAAAGAGAAACTTATGTTTTTCTTTTTGGGCCACCCTGCCTCGGTGGTATACAGCCGGTTTGTTGAAAGATATATGTATATATATTTATATATATATATATATATTATATATATATATATATATATATATATATATATATAATATATATATATTAGGTAGTAGGTCGGTAGACAGCAACCACCCAGGGAAGTACTACCGTCCTGCCAGATGACTGTGAAACAGAAACCTGTAACTGTTTTGCATGATGGTAGGATTGCTGGTTTCTTTTTCTGTCTCATAAACACGCTAGATAACAGGGATATCTTGCTACTCCTACTTACACTTTGGTCACACTTCACAGACACGCACATGCATATATATATACATACATCTAGGTTTTTCTCCTTTTTCTAAATAGCTCTTGTTCCTCTTTATTTCTTCTATTGTCCATGGGGAAGTGGAAAAGAATCTTTCCTCCGTAAGCCATGCGTGTCGTATGAGGCGACTAAAATGCCGGGAGCAATGGGCTAGTAACCCCTTCTCCTGTAGACATTTACTAAAAAAGAGAAGAAGAAAAACTTTATAAAACTGGGATGCTTAAATGTGCGTGGATGTAGTGCGGATGACAAGAAACAGATGATTGCTGATGTTATGAATGAAAAGAAGTTGGATGTCCTGGCCCTAAGCGAAACAAAGCTGAAGGGGGTAGGGGAGTTTCGGTGGGGGGAAATAAATGGGATTAAATCTGGAGTATCTGAGAGAGTTAGAGCAAAGGAAGGGGTAGCAGTAATGTTGAATGATCAGTTATGGAAGGAGAAAAGAGAATATGAATGTGTAAATTCAAGAATTATGTGAATTAAAGTAAAGGTTGGATGCGAGAAGTGGCTCACAATAAGCGGGTATGCACCTGGAGAAGAGAGGAATGCAGAGGAGAGAGAGAGATTTTGGGAGATGTTAGGTGAATGTATAGGAGCCTTTGAACCAAGTGAGAGAGTAATTGTGGTAGGGGACCTGAATGCTAAAGTAGGAGAAACTTTTAGAGAGGGTGTGGTAGGTAAGTTTGGGGTGCCAGGTGTAAATGATAATGGGAGCCCTTTGATTGAACTTTGTATAGAAAGGGGTTTAGTTATTGGTAATACATATTTTAAGAAAAAGAGGATAAATAAGTATACAAGATATGATGTAGGGCGAAATGACAAGTAGTTTTTTGGATTATGTATTGGTAGATAAAAGACTGTTGAGTAGACTTCAGGATGTACATGTTTATAGAGGGGCCACAGATATATCAGATCACTTTCTAGTTGTAGCTACACTGAGA